AAAAAAAAAAGAAGAAGAAGCTCCAGTGGATCCTGGAAGCTCAGCTCAAATGGGGGACAAGGGGAAGGGGAGATAGGCCAGATCGGCAGGGCTTGGGTGGGCCGGGCTGTGCTCCGTGTCCAGTTCCACAGCCAGCCCCATCCCAGTGTTCCATCCAGACAGAGCGGTATTGTCTCAGGGCTGGGAGGATATTGTCTTTCCTCCGAAAGAAAAATAATCAAAGTCAGATCAGCCACAGCTCATTAGAGCCTCTGCAGACATTACGGCCCCAGCAATTAACAAGCAATCACCCGCCGTCCCCCCAGGTGAGGGAAGGCTGGCCCCATGCCAGCACCCTCCTTGCACCCCGACTCTTCTTCAGCTGGAGGTGGCTCCATCTACTCTCTGGCCCTTGGGGGTATGGGCAGTAGCCCAGTGCCAACTCCAGTTTCAGTCTGAACAGCTCCTGGCGTTGGGGGGTGGGGGGCCGGGACTGGGCAGGGCCCTGGCACTGGCTCACTTGTCCCAGTGGGCACCTCTGGGTGAGAGCAGGGATCCAGCATTTTGGCTCCGGTCACTTGCCAGGCTATGTGAGCGTCTGCCCAGGCTCCCTGCAGACAGACAGACTGTCCCTAGAGCTGGCCCTCCTCTGCCAGGTGTCCATGGGAAGAGCCGGAACGCTTGCTGCAGCGCAGTTAGGATGGTAAGCCAGACGTGACTCTGATTCCAAAAGGCACAGAAATGTGCCTTATCGTCAGCCCCAGCTCCAGGGCCAGCGAGCACCCTGTGGCCCGTGGGCAAGGGTCTCCGTGACGCCAGCAGCTCCCTGCCCTGACCCCAGGGAGAAGTCAGGAATGGAGGTCATGCCTGCAGCCCAGATAAGGTCTGTCTCACTCTGCCCTCTGTGTATCAGGTGTGTGGGGTACCGGAGTGACAGTGCTGCCTCTCTCTGAGCCTTGGGCTACTCATTAGGAAGGTGAAAGTGACTCCTGCCGGTCTGAAGCGGGGATGAGGGAGACAACAGATGGGTAATGCCCCACAAAGGGTCATGTCTGTGAGGGCCGGGAGAAGTGCCACCCGCAAGCTTCTCCCCAGTCTCTCACTCTCTCCTCTATCCATCGAGGAGGCTTTCCCAAGAGCACCCCTAGTTTCAGAGACCAGAGTCAGTCAGGAAAGCACCCTGCCCTGAGCCCACACACACTCTCACCCCACACACACACACACACACACACACACTCACACAAATGCACTCACACAAATGCACTCACACACGTACATGCACACATACACGTGCAACACATACACATACATACTCACACATACATATATGTAATCACGTGTACATGCACATACAACACATACATGCAAACTCATTTTTTACATTTTATTTTATAAAGTAGTTCACAATATTTGATTACATTTAATATTCAAACACCAATCCCACCACCATTACACCTTCCCACCATCAAATTTGGAATGTTTCCATCACAAACCCCAATCTCTGTCCCAAAGCAGAACTGAAATAATATATTTTGTATTATTTGTTATGAAAAATTGCTGAAAATGCTACAGAAAAGTAGCACAGAGGAAAGAATGTGAAGATTGTTCTATTTTGGCAGGGGCTATTAAGACCTTCTATGAGATATCAGTAACATGTTGTTAAAGGTTGAGCCTTGTGAACTTTTATATATATATGTATATATACATATATATATATATATATATATATATATATGAGACTCCTGCCCCCGCACCTGGCTTTCCTCACCGGGGCCCCTTGGAGAGGATTGAGTTTCCCTCTCCACCCTGAGCAGAGCCCCAGCAGCTGAAGACCTCCAGAACCCAGCCACAGCCATGCTGAGACCACTCTCCACATGCTAGGACGAGCCTCACACATGAAGGAACCAGCAGAGGAACGCAGGTGTGTGGGACCCGGGGCTGAGATCTCTAAGCCTGCTCGGATCAGAACTGGGCCTCCTCCACCCAGATCCCCCATCTTCCAGTAGCTAGACAGTTACACCCACCAACTGCCATGTAACCCCATTAACGGCCAAGATCCAGAGACTATAATACCAAGCTCCCAGAAGCACGCGGCCGCATTCGACCTCTTACTGTCTAGTTATTGCTCTCAGAGAACCCGGGAGGCTACCGAGAGTATCCTGCCTGCAGATATGCCTGACTGGGAACACCTGTAAAGATTATTAGAGGCTGCCCCAAAAGCCTACATCCCTCTCGGAGAGCCCGGCAAGCTACTGAGAATATCCCACCTGCACGGCAGAGCCTGGCAAGCTACCCGTGGCATACTTGATATGCCAAAAACGATAACAATGATGGTCCTCATTCCCCTGACCCTGAAAGAGCCCCCAATATGCCATCGGGCTACACTAGCACATGACGGGGATGAATGGAGATGTTACTGGCGCCCGCTCGAACAAATCGATGAACAACGGGGTGATAGTGGTAATTGAGCGGGTGCCAATAATATCTCCATTTATTCCTGTCACGTGCTAGTGTAACCCGAGCGTATGGGGAACAGCCTTGAACATGACGGTGGTTGGGTTCTGGAGATTTTCGGCTGCTGAAGCTGGGTCCCTTGGGACTGGGAGGGCTTTCGCCTGCCCTCTCTGTGGTACCCCAAGTGAAACAGCCTGGCGTTGTTTGGTAGGTCTGGTGGCATGGCTGTGGCGAGCATCATGTTATGCTCCCTTCCGAGAGAGAAGGACGTACAATCTATATGGTAGCCAATGACAAGATTATCTGGCACCAGTCAGAGGTGGTTTATGGGTGACATACATGTACACTCTTAAACAGTTCACACACTTTAACACATATGCACACTCATACATACACTCACACAGATACATACTCACACACATACACGTAATCATACCCTAACACATAATACACATACACATATTGACACATACACACATATGTGCACACACATTCATATGTACACAGTGATGCATATACACTCACACACATTCACACTAACACCCAATACACACGCATGTATAGACACATGTATACACTAACATTTACACGCATACATGCACACACTCACGCACACAGACGTGCACAAAGGAACATTTTTCCTCTCTGGGAACGGTCACCCACCCCACCTCTCTACGCCCTGACCCCACCCCTCAGCCACATTCCAGGGGCCTCCAAGGCACGGGAGAGTTTCAGCTGTGACAACAGAGCCTTTCATGAGCAGGGGACAACTCTCTTTGGGAAGTCCCAATCTGGGCCATGGCCAGGCCTCTGGTTTTCAGTTCCAGGAGACAAGAGGAACTGAGGATGCCAGAAACCAAAGCAGAACAGCAGGAAATGTGGCCGCAGGGGGCCCTGGCCCAGGCCAGAGCAGGCAGACGGTTGAGCTGGGCTGCAGGGTCCCATCCTGTGACTCAGAACAAAAGCTAAGGAACCTTGAATGCCCCGGGAAAATAGCTTCAGAATGGGAAGGGATGTCCCAGGGTCCCAGCCATCTGGGCACAGTGCTGGAAACTTGCCACCATGTCCACCTGTTCCCCTTTCAACAAGAAACGGGCACTGAGTGTTCCCCTGATGCCCCTTCCTTGCAGGCCGTGCAGCTCCTATGTCTGCCTAACTAATCCCCACTGGGGCCTCTCCCCAGGGGGAAGTGGCACTTCTTACCTCTAATCGGCCTCTCTTCTTGGCAGCCACACTGCAAACCACAGGGCAGGACCATCCCCACCTAAGGGCACAGGCGTACCAGGAAGCTGAGACTTGTGTTCCCTTGTTGGCCCGGCCCCAGGCCAGAGAATCTAGGGGTCTGTGTGGGAGGTCTGGGTCACAGCGGGGTCCCGTTCCAGGCTCCCAGCCCAGGAATGGGCTGGTGGGCGTCAGGGGCTGACATGGGGCTGCCGAGAAGCGATGATGTGTTAGTACAGGCACGCACGCACAGGCACCCCACAAGAACACCCTCTCCCAGCTGCTCAGACCTGGTTGTGTATCCTGCAGCCCAGGAGGATCCCTGCCTCGCCTGGTGAAGTGTCAGGAAACCCCACCCCACGGGTCCCAATCCTCAGCTTCTGCAGGGAGCAAGCCTGGAATGTTCTGAGGATGGCACAGACAGAGTCAGTAGGTGATATGGGCTTGAGGATGCCACTGAGAGGTAAGAATTAGGAAACTTTGGGGCCAAGGATGTGACTTAGCAGTAAGGCAGCTGCCTTGCATGTGTGAAGCCCTGCCTTCCATTGCCTAGCCAAAATATTTCAAACAAAGAGTTAAGAAACCCTTTCATGGGGCTGGAGTGATAGTACATCGAGTAGGGCGTTTGCCTTGCACGCGGCTGACCCAAGTTCGATTCCCAGCATCCCATTTGGTCCCCTGAGCACCGCCAGGAGTAATTCCCAAGTGCATGAGCCAGGAGTAACCCCTGTGCAACACTGGGTATGACCCAAAAAGAAAAAAAAAAAGAAGAAACCCTTTAATATCCAATGCCTAGAGCTGTGAAGGAGGTGGGGAGGAGGGGGGCCCAGAGAGGTGAAGGAGAAGGAGGGGGGGAGGAAGAGTGGGAGGAGGAAAAGAAAAAGGAAAACAATTAGGAAACCCAGATTCTGGGCTCTGCCATGTAACTGGACAACTTACGTAATCTCTCTGAGCCTGTTTTCTGATCTAGATGCAAATGACACTACTTTTAGGGTGGAGAGCCAAGATTCACTGACTCTCAGGAAATACAGTCAAAACGAATCTAATTCTGTTAGTCAAAAGCTGTAGATCTCACAATTGTCACCTAGGCAGGCCACAGAGACCTTCAGCTCTGCGCCCTTCTGGAGAAGGGAGCCAAGTTCATTTCTCAGACTGTTTTGAATTCTGCGGACCAGCATCCCCAGAGCCACCACAGGGGGAAGGAAGCTCCTATCCCCCCCACCCACCCCCCGGCCACCCCCCCACCCTGCCGGAACTTTATTCAAACCCCAACAAGGCCAACACCTGGCCCATCTCCAAGGCTGAAAGAACAAACCCAAAGTCCTTCCTCCTTTATGTCATAAAACTTTATTGGCAGTTGGGGGAAGCGGGAAGAGGGAGAGGAGGGGGGAAATGTCTCTCCCCTCCCATGACCCTCCCCAGGAGAGTGGTCAGCCCTGGGGTGGTGGGAGGGCTCAGAAGGCCTTGACCACGCCAGAGACGCTGTTGTAGAGGCTGTCCTGGCCATCCAGTAGGCTGCGGTAGGTGGCGATCTCCTGCTCCAGCCGCGACTTGGCGTCCATGAGCTGCTGGTAGTCCAGGTTCTGCCGCTCCATCTCTGTGCGCACATCACCCAGCTGGGCCTCTATGGCGCTGATCAGCATCTGGATCTGCGTCAGCTGGGCCCCATAGCGGGCCTCAGTTTCGGCCAGTGTGTTCTCCAGGGCGGCTTTCTGAGGGGAGGAGGACAGGGGCGAGGAGACTCAGCGGGGCCTGGCAACCCAGGGCAGCAGGGGCTCCAGGGTGCCGCCCAGCAGGTGCACGGGCCAACCTACCATGCTCAGCTGGGACTGCAGTTCAATCTCCAGGCTCTGGAGTGTGCTCCGCAGATCTGTGATCTCTGTCCTGCTGACCTGTAGCTGCTCCGTGTGGCCCGCCATCTCTACGTGCAGCTGTTCCGTCTGCAAAAGTGCAAGAGATGGTAGAGGCGGTGAGCGCGAAGGCTGGCCTCTAGGGAAGGGTGTGGGTGTGACCGCCCCCAGACTTCTCTTGGTATCCCCCTCCCTGAGGTCGCCAGCTTCCCTGCTTCTTACCCGAGTGACGAATTGGGCCTCGGCCTCTTTACGGTACTTCTCGGACAGGGCCTCGTACTGGCTTCTCATCTCACTCAGGATCTTGCCAAGGTCGACGCCTGGAGCAGAATCCACCTCCACACTGACCTGGCCACCCACCTGGCCCCGCAGGACACTGAGCTCCTGCAAAGAACCAACAGAGACAGGCATGTCAAGGCCTGAAGCCTCCTGGACTGGGTCCAGGACACCCCCAAAGCCCAGTTCCTGGGTTTGGTTTCCAAGGACACACCAGGCACCACATACTAGGGGATCTGTGGGGAAAGAGAACTCAGATCTCCTCATTCTGGATCCCTAGAAACCATAATCCAAGCCCACACTCAGGCTGACCCCAATCAGAGGCTGCCCTCAGCTCCAGGAGATGAACAGAGGTCCAGCCTTGTAACCCACCTCCTCGTGGTTCTTCTTCAGGTAGGCCAGCTCCTCCTTCAGGCCCTCGATCTGCATCTCCAGATCACTCTTGCCCAGGGTCAGCTCGTCCAGCACCCGGCGCAGGCCGTTGATGTCGGCCTCCACACTCATACGCAGGGCCTGCTCCGTCTCAAACCTGTCAGAGGAAACCGATCAGTCCAGCCAAGTTCTCCTCTGCCCTTCTGAGCACTCAGCCCCTGGCCCAGGGTTCACAAGACCATGAAAGGGAAGGGACTGTTTCAGGAGGAGCCTGGGAGTGCTCTGTCTCCCCCACCCTGGTTCCTGCAGCCCCACCCCCACCAGGGGAGACACTCACTTGGTGCGGAAGTCATCAGCAGCCAGACGGGCATTGTCAATCTGCAGGATCACTTTGGAGTTCTCTATGGTAGCACCGAGAATCTAGAAGGAGGGCACAAGGTTGGCAGCCTGGCCCTGCCCCTCTACCTCTCCCCAGGGGAGCCAAAGGGTCTAGAACAAGAGGCATGGTCACCAGTCAGCTAGCCCGCACATGGAGGGACCTGGAACCCACCCAAGATCGGGGGTTGTGGCAGGAGGAAGCAGGAAGGAAGGCTGGGGGCGAGGGGAAATAAAGGGGTGCTTCCCATGGCTGCCCATGTGAGGTGCCTAGGAGAGCACTGCCTGGGCTCCAGGCATGCAGTCTCTAGCGAGCTGTGGTGCAGAGCCACAGATACTGGTAGCCTCTGGGTTCTAGTTCTTGGAGGATCCTTTCTGATGTATTAAAAATGATCCCTGAGCACAGAGACAGGAGTAAGCCCCAAGCACAGCCCAGTATGGCCAAAAAAAAAAAAACAAAACAAAAAGTTTCATTAAACCTGGATTCAGTCATTCCTCCCCCCCGCCCCCCCCCCCGCCAGCAACGGGATAAGGAGGCACCTGCTCTTTAGAAAGGCAGAAGGACTTCCCCATGGGCCCCTCCCAAGCACAGAGGCCTGCAGGAAAGGGTCCCCCATGTAGAGTGTCTCTTATGTACTGAGCACTCTACACCTCATCCCTCATGCCTAGCGGCTTAAATGGTGAGTCATGTTTAAAAAAAAAAAAAACTTTTTCCTTTAAAAAAAAGTTTAAAGACAAACTTTTGCTTGTTTGGCTGGTTGGCTAGTTTTGGTTTGGGGGTCATACCTGGCAGAGCTTGAACCCAGCACAGCAATGAATCTAGCAAAGGCTTGGCCAGTGCCTTCCCTCCTGCTCTAACTCTCCAGCCCATGGTGGTGGTGATTTTTGAAAGAAAAAAAATTTATTTATTAATTTAATTTTTGAGGAGGGGGGGTCATATTCGGCATTGCACAGTGGTTACTCCTGGCCATGCACTCAGGAATCACTCAATCCTGGAGGTGCTTGGGGGACCATATATGGGATGCTGGGAATCAAACCCAGGTCAGCAGCATGCAATGCAAACGCCCTACCCGCACTGCTATCCCTCTAGCCCCTGAAAATTATTCTTTAATACATTTTTGTTTGCTGATTTATTTGAGGGCCACATTTGGCTGTGTTCAGCTCTGCTCCTGGCTCTGTGTTCAGGGATCACTCCTGGCAGGGCTGGGGAACTCCATGAGGAGACAGGGATCAAACCTGAGTTGGCCACATGTAAGACAAGCGCCTTACCCACTGTACTGTCTCTCCAGACCCTTAAATGAATTTCTTTATAATTTTTCTTATCTGTGTTTGCATTGTCTACCTATTTTATAAATCTATAAACCTATGGCTGCATAACAGTTTCTAAAGGGGAAAGTTGAGGAAACCCTGGATAATGTTGTTCCACCTTTCTAAAGAACAGGCTCCTCATTCTCCCCTTGCCGTAGGGAATGACTGAACCCATGTTTAATGAAACCTTTTTTATTCTTTTTTTTCTTTTATGGGGGGAGGGGCATATCAGGCTGTGCTCAGGGCTAATTCCTGGCTCTGTGCTCAGGGATCATTTTTAACAAAACATCAGAAACAACTAGGCTAAGAATTGTTTCCGGGAACGTTTGTGTGTGTGCATGTGTATGCTCACGGACATACTTTGTGCATACGTTGATAGTCTCTATCTCTAAAACTTCTGCTCTGCACCCCCAGCATCCTACTAGGGTCGTGATGGGCACAGGGTAAGCCAGAGTGTGTGGCCTTTAAATATCCCACCAGCTCCTGCTACATTTCTTCACGCTCAGCACTCCTCTCTGGGTGGAGATGAAGCCCCCCCTGCAGGCCCCCAACTCCACTCTCCTTCTAACCGTTGGAGTCTGTGGCTGGGGTCTCCAGCCCAGAAATCTGCACCCTCAGAGAATGCTCCTCCCCCCCTTCCCCCTCCCACACACTTCTATAAAATCCCGAGTGTCCCCACCCCCACACCAGGCGGGCGAGGAGGGGCTTCAGCCAGAGGGAGCAGGAAGCTGGACCCACCCCAGATCAGGAACGTGGAGGGGCCCACGACGACGGGGCCGCCCAGGGGGTGGGGAAAGAGGGCGAGGATCTAGGGAGTGGCGAGGGGGGAGGACAGGGGATCAGATTCCTCCCAGGTCGGTTTCCGGCATTCCAGGCTGCAGTCTCGACCCCTGACCAGACTTCTGGGTAGTCCACAGTCGGGTCCCGCCCCCTCTCACCCCTTCGGACCCCTCCTCTCCCTTGCGGCCCCGCGCCCCTTCTACCACGCCCCATCCCCTCCGCGCGCGCACGATCCAGCCGCGCGCGCCTCCCCGTTCCCTGCGGGCGCCCTGCCTCGGTCCCAGCCCCTGCCGGAAGGCCCTCGGTGCGTCCAGTCTCCAACTCCTACTCACCTCCTCCGGCCCCAGCAAACCGTCCCACCTCCTAACGGGCGTGCGGCCGCCTCCCGAGCCCGCCCTTAGCCCCAGCGCGCCCCGACCCGCCCGCGGGCCGTTCCTTCCCGGAGCGGCAGGTGCACCGGCCGCGTCCCGCCCGCGGACCCGGTTCCTCCCGGGAGCAGCAGGTGCACAGGCCCCGCCCGGCCGCGCCCACCTGGCCGCGCAGCTCCTCGATGGTCTTGAAGTAGTGGCTGTAGTCGCGGGGCCCGGGGCCCGTCTTCTGGTACCACTCGCGGATCTTCACCTCCAGCTCGCCGTTGGCCTTCTCCAGGGCGCGCACCTTGTCCAGGTAGGAGGCCAGGCGGTCGTTGAGGTTCTGCATGGTCACCTTCTCGTTGCCCGACAGCAGCCCGTCGGAGCTGACCAGGGCGCGGCCGCCGCTGCTGAAGCCCCCGAAGGAGCTCGAGGACACGAAGCGGGCAGAGGACACGGACACGCCACGGCCACCAGAGCCCCCATGGATGCTAGGCGCCCCAAAGTACAGGCTGGGACCCCCGAAGGTGGAGGTGGATGAGGACTGGCGGAGGCTGAAGGAAGTCATGGCGAGGGCGGATGCGGGTGGATGGCTCCGGCACCTGGAGTTGAGGTGGCAGGAAGAGTGACCAGGCCCTCACCTGGAGCCTTTTATACCCTGGGCAGTGGGGAGGGGAGGGGAATGGTGTGGGCTGGATATCTGCGGGCCTGAGGAATCTGCAGGCTCCTGAGAGCAAACTCAGGCCAGGTCCCCATTGGCCAATTTCTCCGGCTCTGCCCCCAACTCTCCCTTCCTGGGCCAGAGGCTCCAGCCCGCCTGCCAGCAGCCCCACCCCAGTCAGCTCCGGAAACAGCCTCACCCCCCCCCCCCCACTCTCCACTCTCCCTCCTATCTTTGACCCCAGCTCACACACACTTAGGCAGCCCCCTCTTACCAGTACTCAATCTGGCCTCCCCCACTCCCACATTTTGCCACTTCCCAGGAATAAAGTTTCCTTCCCTGGGCCGGCTCACCCCAGAGTCCCCCTGGGGAATTAAATTCTGAGCCTCTTTCTCCTGAGGGAAAGTTACTCCCCACCTTAAGTGCCCACACCTGTTTGCCACATGTCAGCCACAAGTCAGTGGGACAGGAACCTCTCAGAATCCACTCCTGAGGCCGTCATCTGCACCCTGAACCCCCTTCAGTCCCAGGATTAGGGCTCGGTGCCAATCCTTGACCTCCTGAGAGAAGCTGGCCCACCTGCAGGGGTCATCCAGCACCCCAGTGGAAAGGCTGCAGCTGGGAGCCATCTGCCAGCAGCCTGGATGGCTTCAGTCCCACCTAGACCCTGCTCTACCTCTAGCCCCTGAAGCAAGCTTCTGTTCAACAGAGCTTTTTTTTTTTTTTTTGCTTTTTTTGGGGGGGGAGGCGTCACACAAGGGTTGCACTCAGGAATTACTCCTGGCGGTGCTCAGGAAATCATATGGGATGCTGGGAATCGAACCCAGTTTGGCCACGTGCAAGGCAAACGCCCTACCCGCCGTACTATCACTCCAGCCCCTGTTTAGCAGAGATTGAGCCCAGTTCTGTAACTGTCCTGGGAGGAAGAGGAGGAGCTAAGGGACTGGTCACTTGCCCTTGAGACATTTAGCACTTGACACCAGCCCATCAAATTAGGAGTCAGAAATTGGTGCCAGAGGAAAAGGTGGAGGGGGGAGGGGCATTCTCCTTCTCTAGGCCCAGCCCCCTGCTCAGCCTTCTGCTCAGTCATTTCACCTGCTCGTGTTACCACTGGGCACTGCCCACACTGTCCTGGAAATCCCATCCTGGGTCCTCAGGAGCCTGGGGGCAGATATGGGGGTGCACCCAGTCATGGTTCCCCCTGTGAGACCTCAGATATGTGCCCTGATTCACCTGTCCGCCACCCCTGAAATCTGAGCCCAGTAAACTGTCTTCCAGCCACTAAGTCCCCCAGTAAGGGGCACCCCGGGCTCCCCTAACCCACCCAAAGATTCCCTGAGTCACCTGGGGAAGCCTGCCACCTGCGGCTGTTTAAACTAGTGAGTCAGTCGGTTCAGGGCCCCATAGAGGGGAACAAGGTGGAGACCTAAGGCCTGTCGAGGGTGAGGGTGTGGCTGGGCATTTGCAGAGGTTGTGGCCACAGGGCTGGGTGGAGTGAGTCACTCTATTTGGCCTGAGGAGGAGTTCCCCCCCTCCTCCTGGGGGAAAGGGGAGCGCAGTCCTGATAGTTGCCATGGTGATGGCAGGGCAGAGACTCACACTAGGAAACAAAGGTGAGAGCTGCAGCTCCACCCCAAAAACTGCAGCTGTGAACTCCCTCCCCTCCAGAGTAGCTAAGAGTCCAGCCCCCCATAACCCTGAGAACTGGACAGAGAACCTTTTCACCACTGGTGGGAAGGGTCTTCATTGCCCGTTTCCCAAAGGGCCAGCCAGGAGCCCTCAGCCCGGCCTCGGCTCCTCAAAATTCAGTTAGGATGCTGGGGTCTGGGTTCCTGGAGCCCCTGCTCCCGCCCTCTGTCCCCAGCAGCCTGTCACCTCCCACCTTGCACTGTGCGCCATTCACCTGTGTTTCCGGAACATTAAGATCTCAGGAAAATTAGTCAGCGAAGACCGAAAAAACTGTACAACCGGAGAAGAAACTGATGGTTCCCACATCTCCCCTCAGGCAGAACCTGGAGGCCAGGCCACACACACCCAAGCCCTGCTAGGCGAGGAACCAGTCTTGCAGTGCACACACAGAGTCTGCAGTGACAGTGGCAAGAGGGAACCAACCTAGAGAGGATGTTGCCCAGCCCAGCACCTCCAGAGCCTGTGGGGAAAGGAGGTGGGGGGGGGGGGGTTAGAGATAAGGGGATCAGGCACACCACTGGTTGGAAAGTTCCCACGTTCAGTCCCAAAGGCCCCAGGAACCCCAGTGCCTCATGGGTAAGAAAGATGATGGGAATAACAGCAGCGTAGCTCTTGGGTGTTTCAAGGGTTAAGTGAAAGGGGGCTTATAAACAGTGCCTGGAAAATGGTAGGCACCATGTTAATAGTACTTTATTACAGAATATTGTTAAGTGGATATATGGTATTTTGTTGTTGTTGTTTTGGTTTTTGTTTTTTTTTTATATATATAATGTCGGAGTGAACAATAGCAATAGCACAGCAGAGTAGGGTGTTTGCTTTGCACGCAGACGACCCGGATTCTATTCCTTCGTCCTTCTCAGAGAGCCCAGCAAGCTACCAAGAGTATCCTGCCCTCACGGCAGAGCCTGGCAAGCTCCTCGTGGCGTATTTGATATGTCAAAAACAGTAACAAGTCTCACAATGGAGACGTTACTGGTGCCCGCTCGAGCAAATCGATGAACAATGGGAGGACAGTGTTGCAGGACAGGAGTACTGCTATTTATTCAGCCATTGATTAAGCTGATTGAATTGGGCATGAACTCCACATTACTTTTTCTTTTTTTATTCAGAATGTTAATTTTATCTTATTATTATTTCCCCCACTCCTTTTTTTTTATTCACCGTGAGACACAGTTACAAAGCTTTCATGTTCGAGCTTCCATCATACAGTCACCAAACATCCATCCCTTCACCAGTGCACGTTTTCCACCACCAAAATCCCCAGTATTCCCCCACCTCCTCCCCCCGTTCCAACTCTTACACTGCCTGTGTGGCAGAAAATTTCCCCCATACGCTCTCTCTATTTTGATTGCATTCGATATTTTAAAATATGTGGTGTTTAACAATAATAATATAATAAATATTATGTTGGTATTAAATGGTGTGAGTGCAGATTCTAGTAGGATGAAAAATGCTTTGTTCAACCAATGTCTCCCAGCTCTCCTGGTCGGGACTCTTGCCAGCAGATGCGCACACCGATCTGAGGAAGCGCAGAGAGAAAGAAGCTTCCCTGGGGTTCCATCACACACCCTGAGCTGGAACTCTCCAGACTTGAGGCCCCAGGGGGGCGTGAGCTCCACATCTCCCCTCAGACTCACCTTGCCTGCTCATCGGCTGGAAAGAATGCAGACCATAGTTCCCAGAATGGAGAAGTTGGGGAGGGTGTTACTATCCCTGAGTATGTATCAGAATGGTTGGGGACCCCAGAGAGAGACAGGGTAGAACAACGTGGTCTGAGGAGGCCAATGAGGACAGTGATTGGGACAACAAAGGTGACTGTGTGACTGCCAACACCAATCAATGACTCGTGCCATCTTGCCCAATTTCCAGATAAGAAAGCTGAGGCCCCTAAAGGTTAATTCTAGCGACAGACAGACAGTACAGTGGAAACGGCCAGGTTTGATTTCTGACACCACAGATGCTCCCCGAGCCCTGCTAGGAGTGATCCCTGAGCATAGAACCAGGAGTAAACCCTGAGCACTGCCAGATGTACTCCCCCTAAATTAAATAAATAAATAAAGTTTAATCCGTGGACCAAGGTCAAATACAGAAGCAGTGGGCTCAGGATTCAAACCCAGATCTTTAATTCCCTAACATCACAAACACTAACTCTCTTGCCTTCCTCCTCTGTGCTGGAGGCTCAAGTCAGAAGCACCAAGAATCACCTTGCTAAGATCCTAACTCACTACCTGAATGAAAATTATTTCCCTGGACGATGTGATGATCATTCATTCAGGCAACGCTCAAGTGGACCTGGGCAGAAAAGACCAGCTGGTGTCTATGAATAAAACGGAATTCAGAAGGTGCAGGAGAGAAAGGGAAATGTACATAAAACTCTTGAATGTGCCTGTCTTGTAAATGGATGACCCTTCCTGAAACAGCGCCCTCCTCCCCAGGGAGCCTCTGCAGAGCCGCTCCAGGCACCACCCTCCATCATCTCCTCCAATCAGCACCCAGGCACCCTGCCCCCTATTCCAGGAAAGGTGCTGAATAAAGCAGGAAATGTTGCTGCACATAGCAGAGAAGGTTAGTTATTACTATGTAGGTGGATCTTAGCTTTTCCTGCCTGAAGAAACCCATACTTCCGGGAGGAGGGCATGAAGCACCTTAGTTTTTGATGAAATGTGGCAGATGGAATACCATATTAATCTTTGCTCCTTGCTAAACTGTTAAGATGACAGTTAAGAAATATTTCAGGGACTGGAATGATGGCACAGAGTGTAGGGGAATTTTGCCTTGCACGCAGCCAACCCAGGTTCAATTCCCAGCATCCCATTTGGTTCCCTGAGCACCGCCCAAAGTAATTCCTGAGTGCAGAGCCAGGAGTGACCCCTGTGCATCGCCGGGTGTAACCCAAAAAGCAAAAAAAAAAAAGTATTTCAGAGGGTCGGAGCAATAGTACAGCAGGTAGGTGTTTGTCTTGCATGTGGCTCACCCAGTTTTGATCCCTGGCATCTCATATGGTCCCCGGAGCACTGCCAAGAGTAATTCCTGATCTCAAAGCCAGGAGTAACCCCTGAGCATCGACTGGGTATGACCCAGAAAGGAAAAAAAGTACATATTTTAAGAGGAAGGGAGAGAAAACAGGCAACAGAGGATGAGAAATGGCAGCTAAGGGCAGAGGAAAGGAAGCTGAGACGCAGGACTCAGGAGGGGAAGAGAGGAAAGATGAGGGGAGGGGAGAAGCCCATGAACTCTCAACACAAGCCCCCAAACACCCAGGTGCCAGTTCCCCTGTAAGAAGTGGATACATGTGAGC